GCGAACAGGCTTTATAGTGTGTAAGTGAAATCGGGACAAGAGGTCAGAGACATATTTATGCTGAGAGAGGAATAGACCTTTACTATGACGAGTGGCCTGAATGCCAAGAAAATAATGAAGATCACCCAAGTCTTTCATTGCAAAATGTCGAGCAATAAGATGAATAAACTCAGTGACAACAGAAGAGGAATTGCCAGTAATAATAATGTCATCCACATATAATAATAAATAAATAACTGAAGGACCCTGACGATAAATGAACAGAGAGTTATCCGACTTACTACATAAAAAATTATGAGAAAGCAGAAAACTACTGAACCTATGAAACCATGCTCGCGGGGCCTGTTTAAGACCATAAATAGCCTTACGCGGACGACATAGATGATGAGGATACTGAGGGTGAATGAAACCCCGCAGCTGACGCATATAAACCTCTTCTGTTAAATAACCATGAAGAAAAGCATTTTTAACATCCAGCTGACGCATAACCCACCCAAAAGAAATCGCTAAGGTAAGAACAGTACGAACAATGGTGGGTTTAATGACAGGACTAAAAGTTTCAGAAAAATTTACACCAGCCTGCTGGTTAAAACCCTGAGCAACTAAACGTGCTTTGTGGCGCTCAATAGAACCATCAGATAAATATTTTGTCTTATAAATCCACTTAGATCCAACAATATTTTTAGAGTTATCAAACGGCACCAAGTCCCAAGTGTGGTTAGCAATAAGTGCATTAAATTCCTCAGCCATAGCCTGACGCCAAATCAAGTGTTTATTTGCCTCAGAAAAGCAAGTGGGGTCTGGTGAAGTAACAACCGTGTTTAAATTAAAAACGGCTTTTGGTTTAAAAATTCCAGATTTTGCCCGAGTTTGCATCGGGTGGACATTAGCAGTAGAAATAGGTGGCGGTTCGGGCACTATTACAAGGTCATGGTTGGTGGCCGAAATTGGGGGAGTGGAAGGTGGTAAGCTGACTGGATTGCGGACGGGAGAAGGAGGGCTGGTGGTTGACGGGAAATTGGAAGCTACTGGTAGACTGGAAGAGGGTGTTTGGGCGCTGTTCTGGGTGCTGAGTTGCGTGGAAGGCGGGGCAGAGTCAAGGAATAAAGGAATTGGAGTGGGAGGTGTGATGTGACAGGCTGATTTATCTGACATATTAGGTGAGGTGGCTGAACTAGTATGGTGGATTGGTTGATGGGATAGAGATGACCATTAGTTGTTGCCCGAAGAAGAACTGTCCCCGAAATTTTGTCCTTAACAAAAAAGGAATTTTTGTCAAAAATAACAACACAGTTGTTATCGGCACACAATTTTTGAATTGAAATTAAATTAAATTTAATATTAGGAACATGATAAACAGATTTCAACAGCAGTGGACGGCCAGAGGAAGTTAAAGAAATATCACCAACATGTTTTATAGGAAGATTAGCACCATTAACAACACTAACAATAGTTGGACCAGTATAAGTAGATTTATTTGTCAAAATACCTTCATAGGGTGTCATGTGAGCAGAGGCACCAGTGTTTGGATACCACATGGCTTCATTAGCTTGACCAGTTAGAAGTGCAGGAGCAGATGGTTGAGACAATCGGGAAGGACAATGGAGGGCAGAATGACCTGCAGAGAAACATATTTGATAGACAACAGGCGGGGGAATTGCCCCAAGAATTCCCTCAGCGGATGGAGAGCCTGCAGACTTGACATTAAGACCACAAAATAATATAGCATTCGTATTTAAAGTAGACAAAACAGAATTACTTATAGCACCTGCAATTGGTGGTCTCAGTTGCTGCTGCGCTCCATGGGGCTGACCGGACCCCGGCGGATGATGAAGCTGCCCTGGTTGCGACCCCACTTGCTGCCCTTGTCCGAGAGGCTGCTGCCCCTGCCCGTAGTAGGGCTGCTGGCCATACTGATAATTTCTGCGGCCTCCGTCGCGCCCAGTTCTGCCGCGACCTCCTCTGCCGCGGCCACCGCAGCCCCCACGCGGTGCATTGCCTCGTTCTTGTACACCGAATGCCTGGTAAGCAGGTGGAGCGGTCTGTTGACGAAGATAAAGCACTCGTTGTTCGGCCTCTAACATGCTCCGATGTAGAATGTCTGGTGGAAAATTGTCAAGAAATAGGGAAATAGTACCCATGGTGGATTCATATTCTGGCCCGAGCCCCATAAGTGTGGTTTGAAGAACTTCTTTATGGGACACATGAGAATTTATAGCAGCCAATTCTCCAACTAATAAATGAATTTCCCTTAAGTAAGCTTCCATAGACTGATTTTCTTTCTTTTTCATATTAGATAATAGACGCCTAAGTGTCATAGATCTAGCCAGACTAGCAGACCGGAATCTATTTTGTAGTCGTTCCCAGATCTCAAAGGAATGTTTAAGTTCATGTACATCAATTAAAACATCACGGGTAAGGGTAGCAAATATCCAAGAACGAATGGTTTGATCAACCCGTAACCAATGATAATAATCAGGATTAATTATTTGGCGATTATTAAAATCAACCGTGTACATCGGAGGTACCGGTGTGGAACCATCCAAGAAATTAAACACACCTTGAGAGACTAGGAACGATTCAAACTGAGTGCGCCATGTGATGTAGTCTTCCACCTCTTTAAGCTTGATTGTAACAATTTGAGTAACATTGTTGGCCGGAGAAATAGATTGAGCAACCGCGGCCATCGGGGACTGGAAGAGGGACTGTTCTGCCGACCGAGACAGTCCAGGTGTACCGGAGAATGTGGAGCCGATATACCCCAGGCTGGAGTGTGGCTGTGGCGTAACAGTAGGCGTCGGGGTCGAGAAGATGCCTGGAATATTGGAGACGGCAGGTGGCTGCCATGGGAACAACGGAGGGATGTTCTGGAACAAGGAATAGGTACCAGGAAAATCCGCAACAATTGGAGAAGAGACTTGCTGCAACAACGGTTCTGTCTGAGAAGATGACACCTGCGGCGGCGCGGTCAAGGAGACGGCGGCGCTGGTGTTGGTCACGGCTGCGGCGGTGAAGGCAGAAGAGACCGGTGCCGTGGTCGATGAAGAGAAAGAGGATGCTGCAGAGCTAACCATGGCCGCAGTGGAGGTGTGCAGCGCGACGGAAGTGTGTAGCACCTCGGGAGACATGATGACCGAGGGTTTGAAGAGAGAGAGGGAAAAAAAATTAGGCTCTTGATACCATGTGAAAATAATGAGAAAGGTTACCCAATAGGGTACCTGACAGATATATTTATGATAATAAGAGTTTCCAAGAATACAAATTATTCCTAAATTAACATTAGGCTATTACCTAATTTAATATTGGGATATTAATAAATTCACACACCAACTCATTCAACGAAATTATGAGAGAATGAGAGAATCTTTATAACAACAGATGGTAGTATAGGGATCAACATGGGAGTCCCTCATTGGATCAACCTCCATATCTCAATATTGTTCCACATTCATGTATTACATGTTTTTCACACTATATCTTAGGCCTGGACTCGGGCCGGTTCGGGCCCAGTTCGGGCCTGGGCCCGGCCGGGCCTCGGGCCAGAAAATGGGAGGCCCGGGCCCGAACCGCCGGTGGCCGGTTCCGGTCCCGGTTCCGGGCCAAACCGGGCCGGGCCGGGCCGGGCCGAACCGGCCCACTTAATTTTTTTTTTGTTCTCCTATTTAATCCCCTACCCCTCCCCCTCAACCCCAAACCACCCCAAACCACCTCAAATGGCCCAAAATACCTATCCCAACCCAAAACTTTAAAAAAATTTCAAAAAAAAAAAAAAAAATTAAAATTCGGCCCGGACCGGGCCCGAACCGGCCGGGCCGGTTCACCATTTGGAAGGCCCGGGCCCGGAACCGGAAACCACCGGGCCGGTTCGACCCGAACCGCCGGTGGACTGGGCCACCGGGCCGGGCCGGGCCGGTTGCTACAGTGGCCGGGCCGGGCCGGTTCCGGGTCGGGCCGCCCGGCCCGAGTCCAGGCCTACTATATCTAAGATTCCCACCAAAACGAAGTAGTGCCAAAGCGTAAGCCCCCTTTGGCACAATAATGGGAACCGTACCGATAGACTCATTGGGCTCGATCATGATCCCAAGTGTCCCTAATACTCAATTACTCATGGAGTGATGTAACTAACCACTCACCTTCTGGTATGGTTCAAACATCATGGGAAATCTCGAGAGGGTCATGAGAAGTCTACCGATGGCTTATATAGCTTCTCTTAACGCCGTTCGATCTTGAGGACTTAAGTGAGCAGAGTGGGCATTTTCATGACATATTAGGGCCTTTGACCCATTTGAGCTTTATGGCTCACTAACTCTCTCGAGCAGTACGTACCCTTGGCGATTTGGGTCGATTGCTATGGTGTCGAGCCAATATCCCAACACACACATATAGGATGAGATTTAAATAAGAAGAAGCTTTTAGATGAAAATTGAAAATGAATCTCAACCCGTATTGCACTAAAATATGTTATTATGCACAGTTGCGTTTTCGTAAATACTTCTAAAAAATTTATGCTACTCTTCTCTAGTGCAACATGAGATTGTTGTAGTGCAACATCATCAAATCCTAGTGCAACACAAAGTTGTTTTAGTGCAATATAAAGCTTGTTTTAGTGCAACGTTGCATATCCAACAATTGAAATTCATTCTTATTCTCACATTTGATACAATTCTCACCTGAACACACGCGCACACAATTTGGTTCAAATGAAAACATGATCCAAGAGAGAAATGAGTAATTTTGGATTCTGGAGCGTTGTATTTGGGTGTCTTGCATTATGTGATGCATAAATGTGCACTATCATAAATAAGAAAATGTGCATTTGACCCGTGCGTTGTTTAAATCACAAATGTGCACATTTGAACTTTGCATTATTTTAGCTATAAATGTGCACCTCCGTGAACTATAATGTGCAATATTTTATATCGTTCTCATTTATCACGAGAAGAGGTGTTCTCACCGAAACCGGACCCTATATATTGAGGAACACACAAATATAGAACTGAATAAAAGATAAAAAAGATAACTACAGAATCAATGCTTTAGAAAGGATATAACTATACAAGGTAACTACTTAGTAAAATTAACAAAATGATTCTTTTTAATATCCATCAAGATGAACTATGGGTAGTACTCTTTTAAATGATTTATAATTTTCATCAATATATTCGTTAAGTCAACGGTGGGGGTGGAGGTGGGAGGATGAGATGGAAATCTGAGGTAAGAAACTTGTGCTATTTTACGGGAAAAACTTAGTTGAGTTCCAATCATATTTACGTAATCATATTTACGTAAACATCAGTAGAACCTCTACTTTCCAGGTCCAAGTTCTTTGGAAAGATCTCTGACCAGGCTGAATTGCATAGTGTTATGCCACGGGAATAATGTTCGAGTCACTGGAAGTTTCCTTCTGAGGTCCTGCAAATTTCATTTCATAGCATTAAGCTCATATATAGAACTGCATATCCCGAAGTAGTTTGGATTTGGTGCTGATGGAGATGAAGAAGTGCATGCATTTTTGATATCAAAATTCTGAGCCTAGCCACTAATTTGAATACAACATTTTTAATATCAAAATTCTGAGCCTAGCCACTAAATTTGAATACAACATTTTTACAGATGTTCATAATGGTATCTCGTGTGTCAATTGCATAGAGATTGAGGCAAATGTGTGTGTGTGTTTACAGGTTCTGAATTCATAAATACCTTGAAAGTAGTATCAGACAGCTTTAGATAGGATTTCTGGCAGACAAGGAGGATGTCAGTAGATACTCTGAAAAAAAAATTGAGTGGAAGAGAAAGAAGGCTAGCTCACACACCTGAAGAGAAGTCAGATACTCAGTTTCATGCTGTCGAATAATGTGGACCAATGACAATGCAGTGTCATCTGCGGACTAATAATAACACATATGACATATCAAGTCAGTTGAGCTCAACAACAACGCTATCCAAGCCTTACTCCCAAAAGATTCATCAAGTCAGTTGAAGTCTCAACTAAAATCAGACCATGAGGATGATGTATTATATATTCTCCTAGATGCATATATTATACAGAGCACCAAATTTCCATTTCCTTTTTGGCATTTTAAGTATGGTTAAGTATGGTTTCACATTACCTGAATTACTGTTGTATCCCTACATTCATGGTTTGCATCAAACTGGACATTTCCCTCTTCAAAGTAGTGTGCTCCTACCTGAAGCAGATGCGAATGAGAAAATGTTAGCACGCACCAGACTTTTATTTGGATACTGTCATACTGGGGACCATCCATAATTTCAAATGGAGTGATCGAAATAAAAAATTGGCTTTTGAATAAAACATAAATCTGTGAATATCATCACATTTGCATAAGAAATCATGCCTGCATTCTCCCTTTCATTTCCACCATTTGCAGATCATCTTTAAACTCAACATTCCATATCGATCGCCAGCTACCATTGCTACAAAACAGGGAAAAAGACATCAAATTCCATTGAGAAATTAGACATATTAGACACTTTAATGGGCTTAATATGCACAAAATATTTGCATATCTTTTTGGGACATTGTGCAGGTTCTTGAATTAACTTGTGGTATTATGGAGGCATCGGCTTGGGACTTACTTCGCATGTTTATTTGGCTTATTTTTTCATGAACGGTACTCAAGAATATACATACTGAATAATGCTCAAGGAAATTAATAGGAACGTCAATTTCTCAAGAAGTGTAGCTGAATTGATATTCAAGACAGACATCAGCTCTCAGCCTCTCACAAGGGAACACTCAGACAGGGAAATGGATATCAAAGCAAAAAGCATAATTATTGATGATAATAAATCCGAAATATTCACAACCAGATTAGGGATAGGATTTTCAAGTTTTGAATAGGAAAGCACAATCCTGCTAAAGAATGAAATTTTTGTATTTAAGTGGCAAAGAAGAAAAAGGATCGCTTTTCCCAAAAGCACACATCCATTTACAACCAGGGAGCATCACTAAAATTAAAACTAGGGTTTCAACCTGCCATAGTGTGAAGAAAGCAACAAACTATGCTCCATAAGAATTGACTAATCAACATACTAAGCTAAATAATCACGAAATGCAAATAAGCCCCACTACATGTACAAAACTTCAGCAGAAATTACTAATTAGGGATTAGGAACAGATATACCCTTGAATTACACGTCATAAAACATAAATACCCCTCAACTTCTTTTGTCACAATTAAATCCAAATTTTTTAAGAGTTCTTTCAAAAATATTACCAAAATAAAACTTATTTACACAAATGTGACTAATAGTTACTACATTATAGTATCATGGTCACTTAAAAGTTTAAAAATTGAACATAAGTTATTATGATTAAGTTACTACTGTAGTCACTAGACACTAGTGACTAGTAACATTTTTGTAGACAATTTATACTTAAATCATAAATATGTAATTATTTCATTTTAAGTTGAACAAGTATGCACTAAAACTATATATGAGAGAGCATATATGCCCCTTAGGCCTCAACTATTGGACATTAGGGCATATGTTTTCATGAACAGTACTCAAGAATATACATAGTCAATAGTTTAAACTGCTAAAGGGAATTTCAAAGGAACATCAGTTTACCTTGAAGTGTATATGAGTATCGTTCATGAGTACTGTGCACTTGATCTATATATGAGAGAACATATATACCCCTCAACTATTGGATATAAGAGCATATTTTGATAAGGATCCGGTTAATCTAAATGATAAGAATAGATTTAAAGGGCTTGTCTATTCTAGAAAGTCAAAGGGGACTAATTAGTTATTATTAAGGGAATTGTTTTCTCTAATAAATACCATACGGTTGTGGAAGGGTATAAATAGTAGAATAAGCTGCTGGGGAAAGGTAGGCAGTTAGACGCTTTGGCTGGGATTGGGCAGTTGGAGTTTTATCTCCTTCTGTGGAACTGTATTCTCTTTCTTCTCGTTTCAATGAAAGTTACTGTTTTTGAGTTCTGTGATTCCGTTTACTGTGATTACTTGTGATCTGTGGTTGCTACTTGTATTTGTGATTGTGTTGATAGTGCGAGGCCTCTATCAGTGGTATCAGAGCGAGTCGATCGCTGGATGAGATTCACGCGTTCGAAGATGGAAGGCAGAATCAACGACTTGGAAGAAAGGACGGAGAGAAATATGCAAGAGATGCAGAATACTTTGGTGGAGAGAATGGCGGCGATGCAGGCAGCGATGCAAGCTGATATCGCGAAGTTACAGATTGAGCGAACAAGGAGTTCGAGGAGCCGATCACATCGATCGAGTACATCTCATCGCTCGAATAGACACAGACGATCGAGGCATGATGAAAGCTCAGAAAGCAACGATAGTCATTCGGATCATTCTATATCGAGACATGAACAACATCGCAACCAAAGGAATCACCACCAAGCTGGCCGGAAGATTGATCTGCCCATTTTCAACGGAGAGGATGCCTGCGGATGGTTGCTAAGAATGAACCGATACTTCAGATTAAACAAAACTGAGGAAGTGGATAAAATTGATGTAGCGGTGATTGCTATGGAGGACCAAGCACTCAGCTGGTTCCAATGGTGGGAAGGACAAGCATTGCAACAAAACTGGGATACATTCACTAAAGCTTTAACCAAACGGTTTCAGCCGGATTTAGTACAGGATCCTTTAGGACCTTTGCTAAGTCTAAAGCAGAAGGGAACAATCCAGGAATATAGAGATAAATTTGAGACTGCTATTGCATCTCAGGGGCATCTGACGGAAGAAGTGCTGAAAGGAGTTTTTCTAAAAGGTTTGAAAAGAGATGTGAGGGCAGAACTGAAGCTGTATCGCACTAGAAATCTTGCAGAAGTGATGGACACTGCTTCTTTAATTGAGAATAAGAATTCGGAAGCTCTGTTTATGAAGAATAAGGAGGAAGCAAAGAAGAAGGGGCAGAATAAACCTGGCGTTCCTAATTCAGGCCAGAAATGGGGAGAAGGGAGTAGATGGAAGAGCTTAAATTACCCTACTACTAATCTGGATAAAAGTTCAGGAGATTCTAAAAGTAATGAAGAAAGCAAGAATCTAAACTTCAGAAGGGAGGGTCCCAGGCTATCTAAAGGAGAATTACTGGAAAGAAGTAGAAAAGGATTATGTTTCAAGTGTGGAGATAACTGGGGAAGAGGGCATGTGTGCAAGATGAAGAATTACAAGATGATACTTGTAGAACAATCTGAAGGGGAACAAGAATCTGAAGAAGAGCCTAGGGAGGAGTTTGAAGATCAGAATCCACCATTCGAACTTAAGACAATGCAGCTATCTGTACTCAGCAAGGAAGGAATTCCTACTATGAATACTTTTAAAGTAAAGGGAAAGATGCTCTGGCCCGGAGGGGAACAGATGGTCAACATCCTCATTGATAGTGGGGCGTCTCATAATTTTGTGTCGCAAAAGATAATTGAGAAGTGGCAGATACCTTTTGCTCCCATTCCAGGGTATAAAGTGCAGATAGGTAATGGAGCTTATATTTCCAACAATGGTAGGTGTAATGGAATGAAATTGAATGTGCAGGGGATTGAGATTCAACAGACATACTACATTGTGGAGTTGGGAGATATTGATTTGGTGTTGGGAATGGAGTGGTTGACAGGTTTGGGAGATATGGAGGTGAACTTCAAGAGGAAGATTTTGAAATGGAATGAGAAAGGGAAGAATTGTACATTGAAGGGAGACTTAACATTGAATCAGTTGGAGGTAACCTTGAAGACTGTGACACAGTTGTTACAACAGATTGGGGATGGTTTTTTGTTGTATTTGGAAGGACAGATGGGTGAACAAGAACTGAGTAAGGAGAGTGATGAAGATTGGAGTATGGTGGTGGCTGAATTTCCAGAAGTCTTCACTTCCCAGATGAAGCTTCCTCCAGCTAGAAATTGTGATCATGCCATTGTCATCAAGGAAGGAGCCAATATACCAAACCTGAGGCCCTACAGGTACACCTTTGACCAAAAGAATGAGATAGAAAATATTATAAAGGAGATGCTACAATCTGGAATCATCAGAAATAGTAACAGTCCCTATAGTAGCCCAGTGTTGTTAGTTAAGAAGAAAGACGGGGGCTGGAGGTTTTGTGGGGATTACCGGGCCCTAAACAAAATCACCATTCCTGACAAGTTTCCCATTCCAATTATAGAAGAGTTATTGGATGAGTTAGGGGGTGCAAGGGTCTTTTCTAAATTGGATCTCAAATCAGGATACCATCAGATTCGAATGAAGGATTGTGATGCACATAAAACTGCATTTAGAACACATGCCGGTCATTATGAATATGTAGTTATGCCTTTTGGATTAACTAATGCTCCTTCAACATTTCAAGCTCTCATGAATGAAGTTCTGAGGCCCTACTTGAGGAAATTCTCTCTTGTGTTCTTTGATGATATCCTAGTTTACAGCAAAACTAGGGATGAACATAAAGAACATCTCAGGAAGGTATTGAAGGCTTTACAGGAGAATCAGCTGGTAGCAAATCAGAAGAAATGTTATTTTGGGCAGACAAAATTGAGTTATTTAGGCCATATAATTTGTTCAGAAGGGGTAGCTGCTGACCCAAGTAAGATAGAAGCTATGGTGAAATGGAGCATACCAAAAAATCTGAAAGAACTGAGGGGTTTTCTAGGCCTAACGGGGTACTATAGAAGATTTGTTAAAGGATACAGTCATATTGCTGCTCCTTTAACATTATTATTAAAGAAAGATGGGTTCAATTGGAATGATACAGCCAGTAAAGCATTTGAAGAACTGAAGATAGCTATGACCACTGTGCCTGTTCTCAGAGTTCCAGATTTTAATAAGACTTTCATAGTAGAAACTGATGCCTCCGGGAAGGGATTAGGGGCAGTTCTCATGCAAGACGGGGGTCCCATTGCTTACATGAGTAAGGAGTTGTCACCTAAGCATTTGTCTAAGTCAGTTTATGAAAAGGAATTGATGGCTATTGTCTTTGCTATTCAAAAATGGAGACCTTACCTTTTGGGAAGGAGTTTTGAGGTTCATACTGATCAGAGTAGTCTGAAACACTTGACTGAACAGACCTTGATGGGAGAAGGCCAACAAAAATGGATAGCTAAACTTATGGGGTACAACTTCATAATCAAATATAAACCTGGGGTAGAAAACAAAGCAGCTGATGCCCTTTCCAGAAAGTTTACCTATGCAGCCTTATCTACAGTGACTTGTGCAGATTGGGAAGGATTAACAGATGAATTGGAGAAAGATAAGAAGTGGAAGCAAGTAATACAGAAGGTGATGATACAGCCAGATCAGCATTTAGACTACAAACTTAAAGGAGGATTGCTTTACTATAAGGGAAGACTAGTGCTGCCAAAAGGATCCCACAGAATTCTCACTATATTGAAGGAATATCATGATTCAGCAATAGGTGGTCATTCTGGGTACTTTAGAACAATGAAGAGAATTGCTAGTTTGTTCTTTTGGGAGGGAATGAAATCTGAAATAAAAGACTACATACAAGGGTGTGAAATCTGTCAAAGGAACAAGTACCAAGCTCTGAAACCAGCAGGATTACTGCAGCCTTTACCTATACCCAATCATGTGTGGACTGATATTAGCATGGACTTCATTGGTGGGTTGCCAAAATCTCAAGGTATGGATACTATTATGGTGGTGGTGGACAGATTGACAAAATTTTCACATTTCATACCTTTGGCACACCCCTTCAATGCCAAAGATGTGGCTGAAAGTTTTGTGCAGGAGGTAGTAAAGATCCATGGATTTCCAAAATCAATTGTTAGTGATAGAGATAGTATCTTCTTGAGCTCCTTCTGGTCAGAATTGTTCAAACTAGCTGGAACCACACTCAAGTACAGTACTGCATATCACCCTCAAAGTGATGGGCAGACGGAAGTGGTGAACAGATGCTTAGAGACTTATTTGAGGTGTTTGTCTGGAAGCAAGCCTAGACAATGGGTGAAATGGCTTCCTTGGGCTGAATATTGGTTCAATACAAACTATCACAGCTCTTTGAAGAGTACTCCTTATCAAGCTTTGTTTGGGCAGCAGCCTCCAAGTATCATCAGGGGCAGGGGCGGATCTACTAAGAGTGTATGGGGGGCAGCTGCCCCCAATAAAGGCCCACTAATTTCCTCTAATTTCTTTATAAATATTAAAAGCTCAAATATTTGCCCCCAATACAAAAAACTGATTGCCCCCAATTAACCCACGATCCTCTTGCCCGCCCAGAATCCAAGAGGCAACAGGTTAGCCGCACACCGTTGATGGATAATTGGATATAGACCTCTTCACATTATTTTTAATTTTTTCTTTCAATTAATCGTTTGTGTGTTGCTTTGATTGTCTTTTGGTTGAATACTTGTTTAGTTGTTTAATCCTTCCATCTGTATGTGATCATTGTGTTGTTTACTTGTGTAAGGCAATACATTAGTTTTTAACTTCTATATAAATATAAATATTAAATAAAATTATTAAACTTCTAAATTTTTATAATATCATAAATATTTTAATCATAAAAATGTAGTTTAGTCTAATGTTTATTTTAAACAATCATCACATTTTTGTAAACAATCTTTATTTTAATCATAAATATGTAGTTTAGTCTAATGTTTACACTATTAGAAAATAGAAAATGTCATTTAGTAATTAAGTCAGAATTCCTAAATGTAAATAATATGTTATTTTAGGTGGTCAATTAAAATGTATTAATGTATTAAAAAAATTGTACTTAATTCAACTTGTTCTATAGATTCAATGAAGAGATATTAGGCTACAATTCTTTCACCAATACCTGATAGTTGAAATAGTATTGTTTCAAGTATCTCGTAAAAAAAGTATTGTTTCTAATAGTTCTTCTTAATGTTCTCTATCAATACCTAATAGAATGGTATTGATAGATGAGCTTACCTTAGATCTCATAAGACGAAAAAATACAAGGATATCATCCTAATCAAATAGATAAAAATTGGGAGAAAATTTGATTAAAGAATCTTGTCAACCACACGCGTGATCATGACTTCCCACGAAAACTATTTCAAATGAAAACTCGGCATAAATTATTTGATGTATTCTGTTAAAACTTTTGCTATTTTAATATTACATTAATACTTTTTTTCTGGTGCTTTTTTTTAGTTATCCTGCCTGGCTGCCCCCAATAAGATATAATCCTGGATCCGCCACTGATCAGGGGTGATGTAAATCTAACTGCAGTAGAAGAAGTGGCAAGGTTGACTGCAGAAAGGAATAATATGCTATCTGAACTGAAGGAGAATTTGGCCAAGGCTCAGAATATGATGAAACAACAGGCTGATAAACATAGGAGAGAAGAAAAGCTGGAAGTGGGAGATAAGGTTTTTCTGAAGATTCAGCCATATAAGATGAAAAGCTTGGCTAGGAAAATCAATCAAAAACTAAGTCCAAGATTTTATGGGCCATATGAAATTACAGAGAAAATCAGTCCAGTAGCTTTCAGACTCAGATTACCTGAAGGAAGTAGAATACACCCAGTTTTCCACATATCCTTGCTAAAGAAGGTTCTGAAACCTACTGTAACATACCAAAACCTCCCAAATTGCATCACAGAAGGGTGTGAGCTGCAAGTGAGACCTGAAGATGTGAGAGATTTCAGGATTAGTCAGGAAGGGAAGAAGGAGATACTGGTTCACTGGAAAGGTCTTCCTGACTTTGAAGACTCATGGGAGGATATGCAGATGATCCAAGATCAATTTCCTGATTTTCAACTTGAGGGCAAGTTGATAGTTCAAGAGGGGGGTATTGATAAGGATCCGGTTAATCTAAATGATAAGAATAGATTTAAAGGGCTTGTCTATTCTAGAAAGTCAAAGGGGACTAATTAGTTATTATTAAGGGAATTGTTTTCTCTAATAAATACCATACGGTTGTGGAAGGGTATAAATAGTAGAATAAGCTGCTGGGGAAAGGTAGGCAGTTAGACGCTTTGGCTGGGATTGGGCAGTTGGAGTTTTATCTCCTTCTGTGGAACTGTATTCTCTTTCTTCTCGTTTCAATGAAAGTTACTGTTTCTGAGTTCTGTGATTCCGTTTACTGTGATTACTTGTGATCTGTGGTTGCTACTTGTATTTGTGATTGTGTTGATAGTGCGAGGCCTCTATCATATTTGTTCCAACTTTACAAGTTCTGTGTTTACATGTTCCATAAGAAAGTTGAGGCTATATTTGTTCTTTAACATATAGTTCAGGGGCATATCCCTTCCTTCTCTAGCAGAAATTATGATAAACATGTTGTCCATTAGTTTTAGAATGTGATAATCATAACATACCAAAAATTTTGAGGGCTGTGTCTAGCAGCTGAAATCACCACAACAAGCTCAAAATTATATCCTTGATCCTCCACATCCTTACCTTTTGTACAGTACACTGCAAAGACCCCTTTTGGATACGCTTCACCGACATACTTCATTACTTCTGCGTCTAAGGCACATCTGACGAACATAAATGGTGACATCAGATAAAATTTGGCAAATGAAATGAAAAAGTAAAGTTTTTATTAGCAAAAAATGACCAGCAATGGGGAATGACGGAACATCATTGGTCATCAAGCAGTTACACAGTACCTGTAATCTTCCACAAATGCCGATGGAAGTTCTTCATCACGTGCTGGTCTAACCTCTTTACACACCTAAATAAGTTATAGAGCATCAGCATAAAATAAAAACTTTGCCTGGTAATTACAAATCAGAGATGTATTAGTATAATTGAAGGAGAAATGGATGAAAGCACAAACTGCATGTTCTAAGGATCATGAGGGTGGTATTTTGGTAATGAACTTGTTATGTCAAGAAACAATATCTTTACGCACAATAGTCCACCACTAAGGCATTGATAAATGTAAAGAGGTGAGGGACAAAGCGGAACACTCTATTTTTTTGCAATGAACAAAAAGGCAAAGGTAGAAAAGGTACAAGAGTCAATACAAAATTCTCCAAGAAGATTCATATCCAAAGCTAATAGAGCTGCATAGCTACAAGAGCTATTAATTTTGAAAAACTGGCTACCTCATTTCAGCAACCAGTGAGGCTATTTATGACCCTTGTTCATCAAACAAAGAAAGAAAAAATTGCAGGAAAGGGCAAAATGGCATGAAGCATGGGGAATATTTGTGGCCCAATTGTCTACGAGTATGACACTAATACATGCACCTCTATCTTCCCATGAGTACATGTTAATTTTGAAGGAATTCAAGGACGCTTCCAGCTTGTTTTCTCCACCGTAAGATGCTGTGTCACTGTGTCTCTATATTGCTAACCACCAAAAAGTAGCTTTGTTCACAAGAAGGAGGTAGGAATTGGCCCTTAGGGATTAACCCGCAGAGGTGGCGAGGTGCAGACAGCATCTAGTGTGTCCAACTCATCCTGGACCAGAAGTCCACAACCTTAGCTCACTCCATTGCAATCAATGCGTGCATGGATTCGTATGGCCAGATATGCATAGGGCTGCACAGTTGTTTGCATAGTGAGCAAATGGCCTTTGTTAGCTAGGAGATAGAAGTACTCTTGGTGTAGACATGGCAACTGGAAAGTACTTCTGTGAGGAGGTGTTGTGGTGTACTGCGATCACACGAAGCTGCAGACCAATTGTTGCACAGAGATGATGACACTAGATACGATCTAGAGTTAATATAGATAATGCACTACAAACCAAACGGCAGCAGACACACTTTGAAGTAGAAGTTATGGTCTTATGTTGCTTTATTTTTATTTAACGAAATATATACGATTATGAGTCATTTATACATAATGTTAATATAGTTATTTTGCTCAATTATACATCATTGTTATTTATTAAGAAGAGATACTCTATTAAAATCAATGCACGAAGAAGTTTGACTCAAAGAGGAACCTAGGGAGATCTGGGAAGTCAAGAAAACCCAGCCACAAATCCAAGTAAACTCTCTCTTCTTAATAACAGTTACACTTGAAACAAGCGGATTGGTACTCAATAATATAGGTGTTTGGTGAATTTTATTACCCCTTCCCCTAATCAAGCAGTATCATTGAAAACCAAATAGTCATTGTATTCTGTCCTGATTTTTTCTTGGTTTGTGTACAATCTTTGCGGCTGATTAATAGTGTTGTAGCTATTAAGCAAGACAGCATAAGTTCTCTTTCTTAGTACTCAATAATAGACCCTGACATATACGTAGTATGTTTTTTCGGTAGAGGGTAGTATATAATTCTCAATGTCTCATACTGTGCAACAACCTTATTCATAGTAATTGAACATTTAGAAAATTGCTTAGTGCCATGCACAGTGTCTATCATTGCAGCACCATGAGAGTGCAGTTCCCATAAAAAAGTGTGTTTATGTTTGCTTCTAATTTGAGAAGTGATTAATTTTAGAGATTATATGAAAAGTGATAAATTGTAAAAGTTGGTAGTGTTAAAAAAACGGTTTTGAAAAAAATAAAAGTCAAGTGTTTGGTAAAAAAAAGTACTTATTGCATAATAGAAAACGTGAAAAGCAGTTTAAAGTACCCCTCTACCCACTTCCAGTTTTTAAGCTTTGAAGTGCTCAATTTAAGGAGAAGCATTTTTAGAACACTATTTTTTAATTTAAATAAAGCTAAAAGCTGAAAAAAATCTTTTTTAATTAAGTGGTATTGAATACCTTTGCTTGTGAGAATACATAAGTAAAGGACTCACGAGGAGAAAGCCTCGTCTGCAGCCAACATATTAGGTAACAAAAGTGTCCAATAAAAGGAACCACCTGTCCTAGTTATTCCAAAGTTGGTATGACATAACTACTTATAACAGTATAAGGCATTACTTTGCAATAAATTGGGAATTAATCCCATATAAACTTTTTACTTTTACTTTTGCTGCTAAAAACAATTGAATTACATGTTCGTCATCGAGAATTCAATAGTCCAAGATAGGAAGTTATTTTATCCATAACAACTTCCAATTACTAACCCACTCAAAAGTTCCTTTAATATTGATCTCCCTATTTTATTTTCTCGTATCGGACATAGTATTTTTGTACAAGCATCTGAGAAAGTAGGCCAACAAATTGGAGATGGTTTGTAATTTTTTAAAGTATTATTTCAGGTTTGGTAATCTTGAATAATTAGCATCATGGAAAGTAGAAATTGAAGAACATACAGTGAGACTCTCAAAACAATCAGTTGGCTTCTCAACTCGTTTAACTTGCAATGCTTTAAAAGTATGTTTCCAAACAGACAATGAACTTCAAGATCAGATCAAAATTGATATGGTCATATACCATGATTTTCATGTCGGTCTTGCAATATCAATCGTGTAATGGACTGAAAATTTGCAGATATCTACATTCATCACTGCCTCGTGCAATTTTCCATGCATGCAGAAATAATTATAAATTATTTCTTATAAGGTTTTAGAATTTTCATCTCACCAATCTTTCTTGAGGGTTGCAACAAGAGGGCAACTGGCGTAAAACAATATCACTATGCTCTTAATAAGAGCTTATAGTGTTAATTCATTTTTACATTTGATAGGCACTATAAATTTAATGCCACTGACTCCAACAAGTGGGACGGTGATATAGATGATGATCTGATTAAAGTACATTGACGTTTGAGAAAATGAAAAAATAACTCACTTGCTTGAGATGATCAACTATTGCAACCTGGGCAGTCCTAGGATCAAGATACTCATTTTTATTAATCTCTCCAAATGATGTAATCAGCACCTGTACAAATGAAATCAATTGAATCCAACATAAAACAGCAACAAAACCTAGCAAATTTTGATCTATGATAATGGAGGGGCTATCCAACAACCATGGCCGTCAAACATACTTAAGTTTTCTAACAAATTGAAAATGCTAACAAATTTAAAACACAATGCGGATTATACATAATTTCATGAGATCTATATGCTTCCTTTGTTATACAGCTTCATCACTTTGTGTGGAGGATTGATCTCTTTTCACCATATTTACCCTTTTCTGTTTATCTTCTTTATCTTTCTTATGTTCTTTATCCCTTTTGTCCTATTTATCTTTTTTTTTTTAATTCCTTTTATCTTATCATTTTTATCTTTATCTTATTTATCTTATCTTTTTCATATTTTTTTATTATCTTATCTTATCTTTTTAGCTCTGATTTCATGTGTGATTCATGTTAGCCGACCCCAAACTCTTTTGGGACTCAGGCTTGGATTAAAAAAGATACTCCAATTTTCCTAGTAGATGTCCCAACTTTAAAACTGCTCCCAACTCCAAAAGTGGATTAAAACTGCTGACAATCAAGTGCAAAATGTTACTCTTCTGCTCCCAACTTTAGCTCTTGGTTTGAATTATCCATAAACTATAATACTCAGTGTATACACTATACAGTTATAATCACAATAGTATAATGTACATGAAAATGCAAAGGAGCGGCTATTTTAACAACAATGTACTTATTGTAGTAAAGGGCAAAGCTTCTCTCTTCATTTTGAAGAGAGTCCGCTCCCAATAATTGAACCCACAACAACGTTTTAACTGGTGTGCTAAGCCTCACCTTCAATGTAACTGTTGTATTAACTAAAAAAGGTTTATTCCCAGTTCCTATTGTTTCATCATTTAGCAGTCTTACCCCTCATGTTTGAAATTGTGAAGTCAACTTTCATTATCACAAAGGCCTACAAAATCTGTCTCTCCATCACTAACTCCTCAACTGCTAACAGAAGTGAGGACCAAGAATGAGCAATGTTTGATCGGTATATAGATAGAGGTCATGATGATAAATAAAAATTAGGAACCGAAGTGAAAAAATCTATTTTAAACTTAAGAATACCTAATACTGTAAGATGCTTCTATTTGATGATGGGATAAAATTGGGACAGGTAATCATATGCTTCTGAATTAATTAAGCAATAATTTTGGCACTATTGAATCCTTCCTTAGGCTCTAATCTTTCATATTGATCATTGCTTAAAATAAACAGTGCATACAAATTAGAAGAACAAAAGCAAAACAAAACCTGTCATTCAAAACAACAATATTTCATAAATATGAAAAGAAAACACAAATGAGAAGCTACAGAGATGAACTAACATCTCCACTGCGGTCGGGCAATTGGAGGCAAATCATGTGCGACTTGTTGTACAGAGGAAAAGCCTCTTCAGCCGCCAATGTATACACATTATCATCGTTCAACACTGCTCGAATATCTGAAACTCAAAACTACCTTAAAATTCTAAAACAAATATGCAATTGGATCCAAAATTTGGTAGAGGGGAAAAAGTAGAAATACCAGAGAAGACGACATTACCTTTGGCGACGAATTGGATTTCGCCGGCTGGGGAGTTAAGAAGGAACCATTTGGTCATCTCCACCTTCTGCTCATCGCTGAGCTCCGTATCTGCTTCTGTATCTGACTCGTGAAAATCTTTCCTTTCCGACATCTTAGTTGTTACCTTATAAATCCACCTCTGAATTCAAGTCAGTTCAATTTGGAATGTATATTCGGCAGGTAATTTGCTTCCCACTTCCCTCCTCATTCTAAAAAAAACAAAGAAAAATGTGTTGTAAAATCCAGGAAATGACAAGTGTGAATTGTTCATCCTTGTCATCATCCTTGTAATCAGGACACTAAGCTCCTTACCATCCTTGTAATCATAGATAGATAGATGGCAAGTTTTAATGATGCCAGCAAGATGTGTAGAATTACTCCTTGATGATTCATCACCAAGCCCAACTAGTATAAATAAGGCTTGATCAATCACTTGTAAAGCAATTTAGAAATTTCAGAAATTATCATATATTAAGAATAAATAATTTAGAGCTTTTATTATTATATCTATCTCTTTAATCTGTTCTGCATCTTCTTCATTTCACAACACGTTATCAGCACGAATCTGCTCAAAACTCTTCAAGAAATCATCTTCCTGCAGATATGGATCACCCAAGTGATAAAGAGCTATGTCTGATAGACAGCGCCACAACGCACACCATTTTGAGAAATAAAATATATTTTTTTCAAATGACTTTAGTTGAAGCTAAAGTCAATACAATATCAGGTGTTGCGAAGCTCATTGAAGGCTCTGGGAAAGCATATGTGATGCTCCCTAACGGGACAAAATTACTTATAAATGACGCTTTATACTCTAGCAAATCGCGGAGAAATTTATTAAGTTTTAAAGATATGCGTCAAAATGGTTATCACATAGAAACCATGAATGAAAACCAAAAGGAATATCTTTGTCTAATGACAACTAAATCTGGCACTAAATGTATTTGTGAAAAAATGCCAGCATATTCCTCAGGACTATATTTCACTCATATTAGTCCATTCGAAATAAATTTGGTTTGTAACGCAAAGTTAGATGATCAGAAAACATTCATGTTGTGGCATGACCGTTTAGGTCACCCAGGCCAAGTAATGATGCATAAAATCATTAAGACTTCACTTGGACACCCATTAAAGAATATCAGGGTTCCATTATCAAGTGATTTTCCTTGTAAGGCCTGTTCTCTTGGCAAAATGATCATCAGGCCTTCTATGAACAAAATTGCAACTGAATCACCTGCATTTTTAGAAAGGATTCAAGGAGATATTTGTGGGCCGATAGCCCCGCCATGTGGACCATTTCGATATTTTATGGTGTTGATTGATGCTTCAACACGTTGGTCACATGTTAGTCTTTTATCGACTAGAAATTTAGCATTTGCTAAACTCCTTGCTCAAATTATATGGTTAAGAGCTCATTTTCCGGATCATTCTATAAAGAGAATCCGACTTGATAATGCAGGAGAATTTACATCCCAATCATTTAACGACTATTGTATGTCGATTGGGATTGATGTGGAGCACCCTGTTGCTCATGTCCATACACAAAATGGTCTTGCTGAATCTTTGATTAAACGATTACAATTAATCGCTAGACCATTATTAATGAAGTGTAATTTACCTTCATCAGCTTGGGGACATGCTATTTTGCATGCAGCAAATTTAATTCGGCTTAGACCGACTGCATATCATGAATATTCCCCAATGCAATTAGTTACTGGACAAGAGCCAAACTTAGCACACATAAAAATATTTGGTTGTGCTGTTTATGTTCCGATTGCTCCACCTCATCGTACAAAAATGGGTCCTCAAAGAAGGTTGGGAATTTACGTTGGATTTGAATCTCCCTCAATAATCAAATATCTTGAACCGATGACTGGTGACTTATTCACCGCACGGTTCGCTGACTGTCATTTCAATGAGACAGTATTCCCAACCTTAGGGGGAGAAACTAATAAATCGGACCCAAGTACGAAAGAAATAACATGGAATGCAACAGGATTGTCACACCTTGATTCTAGATCAAATATATGTGAGCAAGAGGTGCAAAAGATAATCCATTTACAAAATGTTGCAAATCAGTTGCCTGATGCATTCACAGACACAAAGAAAGTGACAAAGTCACATATTCCTGCTATGAATGCCCCTGCCAGAATTGAAATTCCAGCGGAGAATTCTGAAAAATCTCTTGCAATTGATTCTTCTATACGCAAAAAGCGTGGCAGGCCACTTGGATCAAAAGATATAAAACCAAGAAAAACTAAAAGACAGGAATTGATCTGTGATGCCAAAGATGTTCATCCTTCTGAACAAGAAAATGAACAATTTGAAAATACTGGCATAGAAAATGATATTGACAAAACAAACATCTCAAATAATGATTCAACTTCCTTAAATGAGGAAGATATTCCAGATACTGATAGAAACGTTGATAATTATGAAATTTCAATAAATTACGTTTCTACTGGAATGCAATGGAATCGAAAAGATATTGATATTAATGAGATATTTGTCTATGCCGTTGCCACGAATGTAATGAATGAAAACAATGACAGTGAGCCAACATCAATTGAAGAATGTCGGAAACGACAAGATTGGCCAAAATGGAATGAAGCTATTCAGGCTGAATTAAAATCACTTGAAAAACGTGATGTTTTTGGACCGATAGTCCCTACGCCAAAAGGCATAAAACCTGTGGGTTTTAAATGGGTATTTGTGCGTAAACGCAATGAGAGAAACGAAATTGTTAGATATAAAGCCCGACTTGTTGCCCAAGGTTTTTCTCAAATGCCGGGAATTGATTATGAAGAAACCTATTCTCCAGTAGTTGATGCAACTACATTAAGGTTTCTCATTGGCATGTCTGTTTTTGAAAGGCTGCAAATGCGCCTAATGGATGTAGTGACCGCCTATCTATATGGTTCACTTGATACAGACATTTACATGAAAGTTCCCGGTGGATTTAAAATGCCTGAAGCTTATAGCTCGAAACCTCGAGACATATTTTCCATTAAATTACAAAAGTCATTGTATGGACTAAAACAATCTGGACGAATGTGGTATAATCGTCTCAGTGAATACCTTCTCAAAGAAGGATATAAGAATGATCCAATTAGTCCATGTGTTTTCATTCGGCGATCAAATTCGGGATTCGCCATAATTGCAGTATATGTTGATGACTTAAATATTATTGGAACTCCCGATGAAATTGAAAATACTGCAAAATATCTTATGAAAGAATTTGAAATGAAAGATCTCGGGAGAACCAAATTTTGTCTCGGACTTCAAATTGAGCATTTGAAGAATTCCCTAAATAGGAGTAAAAAAGTTTTGAAATTCCAAAATAGGAGTATCATGTTTTTATTCCCTAAATAGGAGTAAATTTCTGCCAAGTTTGGAAATTACAAGGCTTTAAACATGGCATTTTTTTACAAACTTGGCAGATTACTCCTATTTAGGGAATAAAAAACATGATACTCCTATTTTGGAATTTCAAAACGTTTTTACTCCTATTTAGGGTAATTTCTGAATTTTCATCTGCCAATCCAATTACACTGAGAAAGTGTTGAAGAGATTCTATATGGACAAAGCTCATCCTTTGACTTCACCAATGGTCATTCGATCTCTCAACATACACGATGATCCATTCCGTCCACGAGAAGACGACAAAGATATACTCGGTCCCGAAGTACCATATCTGAGTGCTATCGGAGCTTTAATGTATTTAGCTAATAATACTAGACCAGATATTGCATTTTCTATAAATTTATTAGCTAGGTACAGTTCATGCCCAACAAGACGTCATTGGAACGGGATCAAGCACATATTCCGTTATCTACGTGGTACAATTGATCTCGGCTTATTCTACCACAAAGATACAAAAGCTTCTTTAATCGGATATGCAGACGCTGGATATTTATCAGATCCTCAAAAGGCAAAATCACAAACCGGGTACGTATTTACTTATGGTAATACCGCAATCTCTTGGAGATCTATGAAACAGACGTTGACAGCTACATCATCAAATCATTCGGAGTTAATTGCACTATATGAAACCGGAAGAGAATGTGTATGGCTGCGATCTATGATTCAACACATCCAGAATGAATGCGGTATGAAGCCTATTACTGTTTACCCTACTGTGATCTACGAAGACAACACTGCGTGCATAGCTCAAATTAAAGAAGGCTACATCAAAGGAGATAGAACGAAGCATATATCTCCAAAATTTTTCTCTACTCATGATCTGGAGAAAGAAGGGACGATCAACATTCAACAAATCAGATCCAGTGAAAATCCAGCCGATCTCTTCACCAAATCTTTACCCCCGAAGAAGTTCATGGAACTTGTACAGAAAATCGGCATGCGACGTCTTCATAATTTATACTAAATTCAGGGGGAGTATTTGAATGCACTGCACTCTTTTTCCCTTCATCAGGTTTTTATCCCACTGGGTTTTTCCTGATAAGGTTTTTAACGAGACAGTACATCCAAATACAATGACATTATATGTCATAATCTTTACCCCTTAATTTTCACACTAATCTTCACAATAAATTTTTAAATACAAATAACTATTCTCAAGGATGAACATTCAAGGGGGAGTGTTGTAAAATCCAGGAAATGACAAGTGTGAATTGTTCATCCTTGTCATCATCCTTGTAATCAGGACACTAAGCTCCTTACCATCCTTGTAATCATAGATAGATAGATGGCAAGTTTTAATGATGCCAGCAAGATGTGTAGAATTACTCCTTGATGATTCATCACCAAGCCCAACTAGTATAAATAAGGCTTGATCAATCACTTGTAAAGCAATTTAGAAATTTCAGAAATTATCATATATTAAGAATAAATAATTTAGAGCTTTTATTATTATATCTATCTCTTTAATCTGTTCTGCATCTTCTTCATTTCACAACAAAATGCTTGTTTTTCAACCAATCCACACAACAAATTTCTTTGATTATTTGTAGGTACCCATTTTTGTTTACCCAAATACTCGTAAAATTTTAGGTATAATGTATAAAGATAAAATTGCCTTTTTCGTGAATAAAAATGATTTATTTGTTTTGGGTAAAGAATAAAAATGATTTATAAGACACTAATCACATTGATTTGTCCATAAGTTAAAAATATATTAACAAATCTATATTTATATAATATAACAAAGTCAACCCTTGAAGAACCCTTTAGATAATTAT